AGCATGAGCAGGCAGAATACCGCCAAAATAACGAGACCTACATTTCAGAATATCGGAAATATTTTGTTGATGAAAATGTAACTTGAAAAAGGATTGCGAATCTTTTACCAAAGCCTATCCATCGCGGTCGATGTCCCCGACCGGCGTAGTAAGCTAGGAAGGCCGATGAGAAAACTGTGCTTATATCATTTCCAACCGTAATGACTCCTGTGATCTTTGTGGGTATTCTGTAACGCTTTTCCAAAGTGGTGAGGGTTCCGTTAAAGTACGAGAAGGCTATGGACAGAAAGCAGCCAGCAATCCCATAGATAACCATGTATATGTTCTCACTAGCAAATCTGTTTTAGAATTCTTAATCGTAAGTAAGGCAGAACAAGACTAGAGATGAGATCGGATACCTTTGCAGGGTGGGACCTTTGAACCTCCAGAAACCACATGTAGTATCCGAAGTATCTTTTTGCTGCTCAGGCACTTTTTTGTCCTTCAGGAACTCTGAGGATTCTGTCTCTTCGCCAGCCATTTCGATCGCTCCCGTCGAACTAATCTTTTATACTGAACCAAAACTCAGACAGAGAGTGCCGTGTTGATTAAAAAGCTACCAGATAGCAAAATTATGGTGGACAGCTGAAATGGCAATTCATTTTATTTTTGTTTGTCCAAATTTTACAATGGCTATATACTCGCACGCTTGCGAACTCCGAACTGTAATTCTTTTCAAGCATGCACTTGCACATACTGTTAGTACTGCCATGTTCGAAGATAAGCAGTTGCCAGCTCTCTTTCTATACAAAGACTGTAAATTGTTGTGTGTTTTGTGGTAATCTTGTTTGGCCTATCTCAATTTTGACCGTATCATGACACTTTGCAAACATTTTTTACACTTTGGTAAGCTTTTATATTCTGTGTACCTGTCTTTATGCTTTTATTTTCTTTATTTCAGTCAAAACTAACGGCTCTTAACCTTATCGTTCTGCTTATCGTACGCCCATTTGGATTCGAATATTGTACACCGAACCGGACCTTCCTCAAGTATGTCTGCTAAAGCGAACAGTCGCTGCACAAATATTGAGCCTACTACAAACGCTTCCGCTGTCGGGGAATATACGAGCATGATGTTGTTTCGATCCTCTGGAATGCTATATCCGGCGTTCAATGGGGCCTTCGGCTATGCTAATTTAAATGTCTCTGAGCGAATAAATATATTTTAATACAAAAATCATCTAAAATTTAAGTGCCAGCCAAAGCAATGATAAAATGCTCAATTTTTATTGGTTTTTTAAAGAACTTACAGTTCAAAGAACGTACTAACTTTATTTTTAATTGTTTTGACGCTCTATGATTTTGTACTAGAGACATTTCAAAAAATATTTAAAAATAAATAGATTCATGGGAAAGTTTGGGAAGTTTTTTATTAAAGCGAAAGAAAGTTAAAATATCTAGGCACTACCACTTACCAGTGTTTTTGTATTGATTGATAATAATTATTGATAATAATGAGTACACCCGATAAAAGTGACCGAAACGATACCCATACCATACATGGTGTGCTTTTTATATTACTTATTTTCGACCAAGTCCCATTAATCGTGATGCCCTAAATGATATCTTTCAATTTAGTTTTTGCTGGAGAAGATTGTGCTAGAGCATCGACATCAACGCGGGGCCTGAACTATTGAAAGGGACGTAATCGAAATGACGACTCCAAGTTGAAAGTACGAAGAGAATATAAGAAAGACCAATCCGTTATAGGATTTACTTACATTTATTTTGTTAATTAAAACTAATTGAATTGTATTATCGAGAAATCTTGGATACCCTCATATACATATAACCCTCCTGATTTCACAGTTAGAATACACTTTATTAACATTATTATACAGGGCTCTTTGGAGAAATCACACGTGGATATAGACACCAAAAATATTCACTCACACAGCTTTTTCTTAAAGTAATGCAAAACTAAAATCTAGATCTCTGTATTCTTCTCATTGTTGGCCTCCTCTTCATGCTGGACAATCTGCATTTCGACCTCCTTGACCTCCTCGTCGAAGATTTTCAGATCCTTGGCATAATACCAAACACCCAGATCGAACACAGAACCAATGGCAATGAATACAGCAGCGGTAAAGTTCAGTGTATATCTGTAAAGTGCGAAAAATGTTAGCCATTTCGAGCCATTCAATTCCTTGAGAGGGGGGGGATGAGTTTCCTCACCTCATGGACAGCGGATCGTAGAGCCAGCAGTTGCCTTTGTTCGTGCAGGTTTTGCCCCAGACCAGGCACACCCGATCGAAGACCCAGCCAAAAAAGATGGGACTGGGAATGAAGGCCAGCATGGAGCACATGGTCATGCCAAAGCCCATGGCAGCCGTCTTATCCTTCTCGGGCACACAGCGCACGGACACGAGGAAATTGGATGCTCTGCCACTGGCTCCAATGAACTTCAGGCAGCACATCACCGCCAGGAACGACACGAACTGCGTCCAGCAGTTGACCGGACAGGATCCGGGCATTGCTTGTCCGCTTGCCAGACTCTGAATGGGAGAGGTAATTATTTAAGAGCCGTTAAAGAGATCCAAAAATTAGCTACCTCCAAGTGTGAGAGACTCGTGGTGTCCAGTGTGGCATTCTCAAGACTGAGGTCAAGGCTGGTAATCCTTTTGAACTGAGCTGTGGAGTTGCCCCATTCGTCTCCAGGAATGCAGGAGCAATCATAAAAGATCTGCAACGATTGAGAGATTTTGATTATTTACTGCTGGTTTGTAAGGTTTGTATCCTACGCTTACCTTTCTGCCATCCGAGTTGATTTGCTGACCCTTGCAGCCCGCGTGACAGGCGGAGATGTACGTCATGTTGTTCTCTCCGCACACGGGCGAGTACCGAACGTAGTCGCAGGAGCAGGCCGAGTTGCAGGTGGTCGCATTGCTGCCCAGCGAACTGTCGTGGATGTTGACAATCACCGAGCTCTCGTTGCCGGGGCATCCGATGAAGGCGTAGGCCAGGATGCCCGCCATCGTGAGGAAGCCACAGACCACGTTCCAGGCAGCCATGTAGCGGGCCCTTGGCTTATAGCGGGATATGATGAACCCAGATAGCAGCACCCCAACGGCAGAGAATGCGAGGGCCACGGTGCCAGTGACCATGGAGGATGTGGCTGCCGATTGCCTGTACTGCACCTCGATGTACTTCGGTGTGAAGATCCAGTAGGGAGTGTAGCCCACCAGGTAGAAAATGCTCGACAGCGTGTTGCACATGTACGTCTTGTTGGTGGTCAGGCGCCTGAAG